CAAGCGGCCACCAACCCCACCCCCCCCCCCCCCCGCAAATAAAGATGGAGCTTTGCCCTGGGCCAGACTCTTTTTTTCTTCTGGTAGGAAGCAGAACTCCTCTGAGCACAAATAAGGAATAATGAGGCATTCTCCCTCTTTGATGTTCCCTCTACTCCTACAGGTCCAGGAAAATAAAGTGGGTCACTCTACTTCCAGACTGGTATGCCTCCGAGTCTTCAAAGGCCAGATGGATTTTTTTCTTTTTAAATTTTTTTTTATGAGCTAGTCCAGCTGAAATCTCTATGTATTTTCCAGATCATGTGCAAGTGTGTGGGAACTGAAGGTCAGGCCATGTGAAAGAACAAAACGGCCATTTCGTGATGGGCAATTTGCTCCTATTACACTGCAGACCAAACCCTCTGTTCCTGCAAAGCCCACGATGACAGCATGGTCTTATCCTTACTTCAGTATATATGTTATTCTGTCTCTTGTCCCTGTAAACCTTGGCCTGACACAAATTCTCTCACATCACTGTTAGCTCTGGTATAAGAGGTAAAATTTTATTCCAGCACCTTCAGGTTCAAAGGATTAGAAGAAAGGTCCCAAAAAGTTTATTCTGGCCCCCCATATCTGAAATGGCAGGTGGGATGAGTCTGTCCACATAAAAAGTCTGGCCAGAGGATCAAGTGTGGGTTGTATGGGGCTGCTCCCCAACATTTGGCTGCTTCCTGGTCACATAAGCACACCATTTTCTCACAGCGGTCTGTCAGGTTTTCTGCAAAAGAAAATGTGAGCGGTGGATGAGAGATTCTGGATCACATGAAGGCAAGAAACAATTTAAGAGGCACAATTCTTTAATAAAACAATTATTAGGGAACAGAGGCTTTGGGAGCAAGAAGAGAAAAGGACCAATGTGCCATTTTTGTGTGGATCTGACCCTCCCCTCTCCTGTGTCTGTCAACAGGTCTGACCTTAACTGTGACCAAGAGCATCAGAAAGTAGCAGTTAAATGTAAATTGGCAATGCTTATAAAAATCTGCCCAGCACGGAGCTGCTCCCCATTTCTAGAGCTGTTTGCACAATGGGGCTTTTTTTCAGCAGCCAAAGATAAAAAAGATAATTATTTTAACTTAGCCTGAGCTAAAAATATTTCATTTTCCCCTCAGTCACTCAACTCCACTTTTAACTCATCCCTCTGCGCATCAGACCAATTCCAAAAGAAAAATGGCTGCTTTGAAAGGAAGAGTCTTTGGGAGGGATATTCAGAAACCTGAGGGCATAAAAGCAGCCACCAAGCATCCTTCACTCACACTCCATAAGTTGTTCTTATGCCCCTCTGATCACAGCAGGGGACCCAAGAAATTCCACAGCAGAGTCAGATACCTGATTTTTATGAGTCAGCAGCTAATGAAGTTGATCAAAACCATATGTACAGAACTATTTATAATGCCATTATAAAACTACATACCTAGGTAAGGACCATAAGGAAAATAAAGTAACTGGCTCAGGTGGCTGCATTGAAAATGGCAGATTTTGGGTTAACGATGCCCATCCCAGCCAGAGGTGGCTTAAATGGAGCCATTGGGCTCATTATTTCAAAGCACAGTGCCTTGCCTATTGGAAGCTGTTGCTAGAGATTATCCAACACCCACCAAACCCTGCACTAGGCGAAGTTTAAAGTGTGACTTAATGCACGTGGGCTTTGCTCCAAAACAAACTAGAAAGAGTACAGGAACCTTTCCAGATTTCACTGGATTTTGCTGAATCAACCCTGTATCTGATAGATAAGAAGATGTCATATTTCTTAAGCTTTTCTGAGGAGAATCATATGTTTATTGGTAAAAAGCATTTCAAAGGTCCCACCGATGTTGACTCAGCACTAAGTCCTTTTTTTTTCTTAGCTATCTATCCTGCCTGATTTTCTCTTTGCCCTCTGCTTCTTGAGTTTTTCCTGTGTTATGCCAATCACTGCCCATCTAATGTGAGTGCAAGAGTCAGGCTTAGCAGTAATTTCTGTTAGAGCAAAATGGTTCTTTTTACCAGCCTCCACTACTTACAGCCTTTTCTATGTTCCAGATATTTAGTGAATGGAATTTGCTTATGTGTGAAGGCATATCTGAACTGAAAATTAAATTATGAGTTTGCATATTTTTTTCATTCTATGATCAAGACTGCCTAACAATGGCAAAAGAGCTTTCAAGTAAAATAAATTTCTGTTTAATTTACCTGAAAATATCTGTGTTTACGGTACAGTGCCAGGGAACAGGCAAGTACTTCTGCTTCTAATGTTTCTGGACATCATTACCCTAGGCCCAGCAAGCATGTCTGGAAATTTAATTCTTGACCTCTTTCATTTGAATGGGATCAGACATTATACTTTCACACTTCAGTAAAACCTGCTGTGCTGTAGCCTGGGGTAGGAAATTTGCCTTCAGAACACATTTCTCTTGTTCTGCCCCATGAAGGATGTCAGGGGAAGTGAAGCCTGCTGAAGGCTTGTGGAGAACAGCTGATAGAAGCTTCTCATGCCTTGCTTGGACATCAGTTAAAGAATTAATGGCATTTGTTTAATTAATACTTGTTAACCAGATTGGAGCAACTGCAGTCCATTGCACTTTTCTGGGACATAGTTTTCACATGTCTCATGGGCTCAATGATACGTTTTACATCCACAACTTGGATTGTTCCTTCACAGCAAAAAGAAATAAGTTTTTTTTCATATAAAAATAGACAGCAGAAAATATCAGTCAGCTATTGAAATGTGAGTAAGCATGAGGCAAAGCAGTTAAACATTAAAACAATACATTCCTTAGCCAGCAATTTGCATTTTATAGGTTGTTCTGGCACTTGGAAAAGAGCAACTGCAGATGCTCTCTGCCCCATCCTGTATCTTCTGGTAGATTTTCTGCTGCTGGAGAGGCTGAGGATTGTGCCAGTAGAATATGGTGTTCAAGCAAGAAGCTTTGATGGCACAGGAAACAAGTTTCACTCTCAGATGTTTCTTTTCAAACTTTCAAAGTGTTCTACAATGGATTTTACCATCAGGGACTTCTTGAGACTTAGAAATAGAAGTGACAAATTCTAAGACTCAAGTCATCTGCTGTATATCAAAACAAACTGGTGTGAGCCACTGACGGGCTGTGACTGAGCAATTCAAGACCTTCTTGACTGGGTACCAGCTGTAGAGCTGAACACAGCCTACACTCGTTGTACGCCTGTGATACTTGAGAGCATTTGACTTTGCAAGTTTCAAAATCTCCTCTGGAGCCCTCAGCCTTTAGGCTGGAGACCTACATGAGGCAGAGATGCAGGCTGGCACCCTGTTTAACCTGTCTTATGGACTAGCATAATAATAACATGGCTCTTCTCTAGCAGTACGTAATGGTAAGCAGAACAGTGAACAGTCCCACCGGAGGGAGGGCCAAAACTGACAAGGGAAGACTTCCCCTGCAGACGTGGTCACAGGCAGACCATTGCAGAGCTTTGGGAAGGCGTTGGTGAGGAGCAGGTGAGCTTAACACTTGAGGACAGAAAGCCTCCAGAGAGGCATCCACATCTTTGCCACACTGCGATGGCTTGTTGGCTCCATGGCCTCCGCATCCACTGTTTAGCCTGGGGAGGACCCAGGTTACCTTGAACAGGTGGTGTTGGGTCTCCAGCCTTCCTCCCAGCTCCAGCTGGGGAATCCCAGCAAGCCTAGCTATCCAGGGACGGGTTGGCAGAGAGCTTGAAAGAGAACAGCCCAAAGCATCTTCAAAACTATCTCAGCATAGACAGACCTACCTCTGAGGGCCACAAAGCTCTTTGATCATCAACGCACCTGCAGAGGAGGGAGTGAAATGAACCCAGCACGAGCGAGCACTTCCTTACCACACTGCACAGTGTTCTGCTCACATGCCCACTGGTACCGCTGGGCCTTGGGGCTGCAGCCTTCCTTCTCTGCTTTGTCATAGCAGCAGTCATGCCTGTGGCAGCACCTGGGAGACAATAAAAGCAGAGTCCGGGCTCAGGCTTCCTGCATGTTTTGCTCAGGGGTATTTGCATGTACTGCAGGACATCTCCACTCACGTACCACTCATGACAGCGAGGTTTGCTCCAGCCTGTCAGCAAATCATCTGTCAATGAGCCAAGCATCCTACATCAGTTAACTTCAGATACCTAAATGTAAACATCTCGATCTAAGGCATTGATCTATACCGCTTTTATGCATGTCTGAGCAGCAGTTCATAATACTATGATGCAGAGATCCAGCACAGGTGAAAAATGTTGCCTTTGAAAGTGCAATCGCTTTTCATCGACCATAGGAGGGGGCAGAGGGTGACTTTCTCAGCTGACGATACCTGTCCTACAGATCACTCAGTGAGATAATTCCCACTGTCAATTACTTCAGAATTTATAGAAAATTTGACTACATATGAATTTTATTCTGGTAGTTTGGTGACTCAAAATACACTGAGGAAATATTCAGCATTTAGAGAGGTTCTCTGCCAGGTAACAACAGTTGTTTGAGCAATGATGCAAGGTCAGAGGCTGCAGTCAGAGAGGAGTGAGCTCATGCATTTCCAGAAGCTGTTCCTGCAAGATCACTGGGACTCTACAGAGAAACCACTCTACTAACTGGAAAGCACCAGGGCAGGCATATGAAGACTAAATAGTTTTTAAGGGAAACTCTTGAGTCCTAGATATGAATGTCTTCAAGACATGGATGAGCTGGCCAAAAGGGAGCATGGCTGTGCTAGTTGTCCAAACCCAGTTGAAGACTTTGATCATAATCTTCAATGTCTGAGGCCAGTGTACCTGAAAAATCAATAAAAGTTTGCAAAGCACTCTGGAATCTGTTGTTACATCCTTCTGGAAAAGTGGAAAAACCTCAACAGAAGAATAAAGGTCCCTTGTGGATGAAGTGGGACTTCTCCAGAGACCTGTTGGGAGCTCCCAGTACCTCACTGAGAGCTCAGGAACATAACGAACTTCATTACCCTCTGCTGCAGAAGGATTTTTCCCTTTTAGAAGTTGCTTTATGGATATGAGGGCTGGTGGGCAGCGTGAGATGATAAAGCCTGGGGAAAAAAATTGTCGATTTTTGAAGTGCAAAGAAGAAGATCCACCACTGACACAAGTCCTAATAAAGTGACTAGAACTGTATCAGGTGAATCACGTGAAAGGGACAACAGAATCAGACCAGTCAGATCAAATTCAGTCTTCACATAACCCCTGTGATTACACACAGGCTAAACTTACTCTCCCTACTGACTGAGCTCCTGATTTAGTAGTTAAAGTGATAATTTCATCCCACAGATGAGTCTGCAACCTAAATGCCTTTCGTTTCTCAGCTTACAAAGATGAAACCTGTGTGATGATTATGACCAGATTACTCATGGCATTGTGAAGCCTAGAAATGTAAGTTAGCAGAAGCAGACTGTTATCTCCCTCCATGCCAGCTCCTCAAAAGACTTCAGAATGGAACTAAGCCCTGTAGGATATATGTATCTGGAAGTTTTCCCATCAGGAGTTACAGCAATTGCTGAAACTGAGAAGTCCTTATTCAGCTCATGGAACTGGTTCTGTTGGATGTGATGGCAGTAACAGGCTGTCAGTCAGATCCTTCTTGGTCTAGTAACACTTCGCTCCCAGGCTTGTCCTGAGAAGGTTAGAAGTGAAAGGCCAAAGGAGAAAAGAATTGGAAGCCTTCTGGACAAAGTGAAAGTCTCAGCTTTTTCCAATGTATGAGTCCCTATGATATGTGCCATATGATACGACTGGATGTTGGCACTAAGTTACAACTGGGGCATGTGTCATCTGGAGGATCTGCTGTAGCCCAGGGCACCCTGAATAATGCACCTGAGGGTGCAGCACAGCCTCATCCACCCTCAAGGAGGCGAATTGCAAAGCAGGCCCATGATGGTTATCTCCTGTATGGGATGCAGAACACAAGAGGCCACGGTGGAAAGACAGGAATCAGGCTGAGCTGAGGCTGAAGAAATCCCTACAAAACCCTAGAAATCACAGGGTGTTTGAGGTCTGAAGAGTGAATCAGTATTGAAATTAGTAAAGTTGGTGTCACTGGTGGAGGGCTGTGGGGAGGAGGAACAAACAAAGGTAAATGGGCAAGGGGAGGAGTAAGCAACCTTTGGGCCAAGGCAACAAAATTACTATTCATGGAGAGCCAGAGGGAATAAATCAAAAAAGAGGCAGGAGAAAAGTGAAAAAAGTTCTTGGAGGGGGCAAAAGATGCTCTGTGAATCAGACATGGACAACCAAAATCACAGCACAGAGGTGTGCTACCTAGCTCTAAAAACTTGCTACTCCTTGGCTGGCCTGGCAAAATTAGGATTGCATAAATTCTGCAAGACCACAGGATCTGGAGCATAATTCTCCTTCCACTTACAACATCTCCTCCTGATAATACCCATAACCGCAGATAGGTGACATGTAGCTTACACCAAAACAAAGTGAGAAGACTTTGACTCATACTTTATAAACATCTCTTTCAGACAGGCTGAAAGAACTGCCAAGGAATAAAGACGGAGAAAACGTATTGCTGTCTTTTGTCACCTTCAGATGGACCCCTCCCATCTGGAAATGTCCTTTCCTGCACCTGGGTCAGAGCATGGTGTTAAGCTTTTAATAACCTGCCGACGCTCGGTTAGACCAATGCAAACAGAGTCAGCCAACGCTCTGGCACAGTACTGGTCAACAGGTATGGAAAACAAATACAACCATGTCATCTAGTTAGTAAGTAAGTGACCTATGCATCATGTCTGGGGTATGAGATGGCACTAGTGGCTACAGACAGCTCTGGCTGGCCCACAGGGAGCAGCTGGCCAGACCCCTGCCATTGAGCAAATGCCACTAAGGTAAGAATTTGTCACGTTGTGTTTGTTATGTTAACAGCACAGCCACCAACCACTGTGTGTCCTTTTGTTTTGCTTTAACTCAGCAGCTGAGGGGAAATCTTACTCTTCCCTCTGTGTTTGCCAGGACTTAGATGAGCCATATATGCCACCCTGTCTTTCACAGCATTTGGTGTTTTCAGGGACATGCTGAATGCCTTCATGTTCTGCAGCAACCTAGGGGAACAGAAAGCTGAAGGAGAAACAATCTATTGACTTTATGTAGAGGAGATGCCGTTAGATCTTAAAGTGATGGGCCTGTGAGGGTGGAACAAAAGGGCAAAGGTAATTACTAACAATGCCACATCAAAGTCAGTGTGTGGAATAAACCTTATAAAAGGATTACCCACTAGTCTTTTTTTTTCAGTAAAAGAAAGGTGTTTAGAAGCACTCTAGCTCTGTCTAGACAGATTGACTGAATTACTCACAAGAAAATTACTCCTTCTGTAACGGTCTCAGGAACAAGCCTAGAAGTGTCAAGGGAGTGAGTAATTTTTAACCAGTGTTTGTCCCTCAAGGCCCATAGTTTTGCCACTCTGCTTCTTGCTTTTCAGAAAAGGCAAATATGGAAAATAATGTGCTCAATTTGATGGGCATGGGGTGTCACTTTTTGTGGCATCACAGGCGACTTGCACTGCAGCAGTTTCCCCTTAAGGACTGCACCTCAAGGAGAGACGCATGTTGGGACAGTTTGTCAAGAACTGACTCTTGTGAGAGGACACACACTGGAGAAAGTGTGTGAAGATTGTCTCCTGTGAGAGGGACCCCACAATGGCCCAGGCGAAAAGTGAGGAGTCCTCCCCTGGAGGAAGAAGCAGTGGTGGAGGCCCAACCGCAACCCCCATTCCCCACCCCTCTGCACATTCAGAGGGGGGAAGTGGATAAATTGGGATTGATGTTAAGTCTGGAAAGAACGGAGGGGTTGGGGGAAAGTGTTATTTTTAAGATCTATTTTTATTTGTCATTAATCATCTCTAATTTTGATTGTTAAATAAATTTAACTAATTTCCCCAAAATTGAGTCTGTTTTGCCCGGGATGGCCAATGTAGGTGATCTCCCTGTCCTTATCTCAAACCATGGGCCCTTCGTTATATTTTCTCCCCATCTAGCTGAGAAGAGGGGGTGATAGAGCGGCAGTGTGGTTACCTTTGCCACCAGCCAGGGTCAAATCCCTACAGCCTTTTTGTGCATGGGGTGCTCAACCACACTGATTTTTGCTACTCCATAACAGACAGCAGAAGATTCCTCTAGCAAACATAAAATGGAAATTTCTAGGGCTAAATCTAGTGGAGTATTGCTGATTCTTTGTAGATAAGTATGTAACTAAAAATCTTTTTCTTATATATTTTTTTTCCCCCCAGCTAAACCTTGCACATAAGGAGTAACAATGAATACAGGCAACATATTAAGCCTTCTTTTTACAAACTATCTGGTATTTTGAAGCATTTCCAGTTGCAGAGTCTCATTTTCTGCCATTGGGATAAAATACACACCCCATGGAAATTAAACAGCAGCAGAAACACTAGCTGATGAATACATGGACATACTTTACTCTCAGCCTGTATTTCAGGAGTGCTCCCAGAGTTGCCTAAACTTTGGGGTCCCTCAACCTCTATGGAAAACAGCTTTTTAGGTGACTCCACTCAGCCAGTTGGTGAAAACAGCACACCAGATTAGCAAAGTCATGTTTTACTTTGAAGGCCTGATGATGAGAGTTGATAAAGGGCTAACAATAATAATAAACACATCAACAGACACTTCTGTAGATGGTGATACGCAGGCCAACAGATGCTACTGAACACTAAAAGAAACCTCTATACCTGAAAGCTATGACATTTTGTAGACTGTTACTTATTATTTCTAAGTCCTAAATTGGCTGTTTCATATATTAAATGTCTCATAGGTACCAACCAGGGATATGAAGAGAGGGGTTTGGGAATGAAATGCCTCACCGCATTGATGAAAACATCTCCATCAGTTTTAAGGCACATCTGCTCTTTTATGGCCACAGAGGAATTGGCCTTTAACCTTGGCATCATTTTTCTCCTTTTTTAATTTTACGCTGCCAGCTCAGGAAAGCCTGGTTTTGTAGCAATATGAAAAGTCTCTGATGGCTGGGTATTCTGGAAAGCTCATTTTCCTTCCCAGTTAGCTACATGCTGCTAAAAGCAGAACTTGCTTATCGGTAACACCCAGGATGTTGACTGTAGATAAAGAGATAGAATTGTGTGCCCTGTCTTTGAAGTTTCAAACCAGACAAGACTGCAAATAAAGGGCTCAGAGCACAAAGGAGTCCACCATATTCAAGAATTACATGTGTGCTAATCACAAAGCACAAGAAAGAAACCTTTGCCACACCTTCTAGACCCAGTGCTTTTAGCCTCGGGAATAACAAGCACAGCATCTTCCCCGCTAACAAAGAAAAGGAGAAGTAACCTCACACTCTCCCTTGTTGCTCTTCCTTGATTCCATGTGAACTAACATGCAATGAACGTGACAGGTTTGATTACTCCTTGCAATGGTCTGGATTTCTTCCAGGCAATAAACAGCGATATTCCCATCACTGTCATTTCCAGGACCTGGGTGAAATAACCCTCCAAACACCTTGATCAACTCCTTTTTTTTTTCAGATAAAGCTTGTTCTCTATGAATAAATATGCAGCTATATCAGGAAATCATACCCTGGTTTCTCCTTTGCCCTCCACCTCACTTAGTACAAGGTCACACCTTGTCCACCTCACAAGGTCACAAGAGCTAGGTCTCATCCAGAAGATGGCTAAACCCTCATTCAAACCCCAAGTGGTACATGGCTCCTCGCTCACAATTCCCCAGGTCTATTCATATATACTAAGTTCCTCCTCCACCAGGCAGCAAAAAGTTTGTGAAGTCACAGCATTACAAACAGGAAAGTGGGTGGAGTTCTGCACCTTTCTGGACACATAGCTGAAGTTCTTACCAGTCTGTTTTATCTTTAGGCCAGCCTTGTCCTCCCAGTCCGCAGTAGCATCCGTAGCCTATATATGCCAAGGGAGATCGTCCTGTGCCACATGATATAGCTCCTGCCAATTCGATGATTCCTCTGGTGTGCAGTGAATGGGATTTTCCCAGACCACCTTTCCAAACTGCAAAGATAGGACATGGCTACACGCAAGGATTAAACACACCTGACACCAACTTTCTTAAAGTCATTAAAGGGTGATTTTCCTGGTTTTGAATGGTAGGTTGGGTGCAGCCTTGACAATCTGTACAGCCATGATTTTCAGCCCCCAAAGAGGAGTCTGCAGGGACCTTACTCAAGACCTGGGATAACCAGGAGGCAGATGCAAAAATACCCAAACAGGATACTTCTACAGAAGGAGCTCAATTCAAGCAAGACTTACTACCTCTGGAGCACTAGCATGTGATTGCAGCTGTATGACACCTGGGAGTAGCGTGCCCAGTTTTGCACATCATGGAACCCAAGCTGTTAAGTTTTGCAGGGCCTGTGCCAGCTCCATGCAGAGCCAGCTGGGCTCCACTGCACCCCAGAGCTCCCAAACCTGGGAAAGCTCACTAGCTATGCTGTGGGACATTGAAGCAGCAGAGGACAAGAATGCAACCAGGACTAACCTGGGCTCTATGGAAAACAATGAAGTTTCTATATTGCTAAAGATGTCTTATATTGTCCAAGTTTTCCCTACTCGTTTTCCAGATAGCAAAAAGCTGACAATACTTTTAATTTGCATAGAAGGAGAGCTACAAGTCCCTGAGCCTGTAAGGTATGCTTTGTTAGAGTGCCTACATTGGCCAAGATGTATGTATATTGGCTTTCTTGTGAGCGTTTGGAAGTGCTGGCTGCTTCCGTTATTACATTCCATTTAAGTCATAACATCAGATTGGCTGCATTAATTTGGAAAAAAAAATAAAGAGGGGGAAAAAGGAGCTCTGTATTAGTGTGTGAAGCGTGCAGATGGCCAACCAAACAGATCTGGAATTTTCTGAGTTACATGGACAAGTCTTTCAAACAGCGTTGTGATTTTACACGCTAATTTGAAACTCGCTCAGAAACCACAGACTCTACCTTGCAGTAACTGTTATGGAAAACAAGACTACCCTTCTCTTAATACTGCGATGCTTAGCTGCAGCTGCTGATACTTAGCATGTTAACGATAGTGACAGGAGCATTTTTTCCCTGGGTTTACTGTGAAGGACCAAGTGCACTTTGTACTGCTCTGTCACACACAGCAAAACTATTCACCAGTAGCATCAAACCCTTCACATTGCCTGCCTAACCCACCTGCTCATCACATCCATGCACAATCACTCCAAAATAAAAAGCCTGTCGACACGGGGAGACTTTGCAGAATGCTTGAGTGGAGAGGAAGGTGATGCCCAGGAACTGGGAAACCGCCACCAAAGTTACTTTCTACCTGCCCCTGGCTATTGCAGCACGCTTGACCTATTCAAAGTGCTGTGCAAACATGGACTAATTAATCCCCTAAACCACCCGAGGACTCAATACTATTATTAAAACAGTTGCTTTCCTTTTAAAACCTAGCCTCTAATCCCCTTGCTTGGGCCTCTCCCTGCATCTCGTGGGCTGGCTCGCCCTTCTAGCCTGATCCAAAACCCCAGTGAGGACAAGGAGGGTCTCTCCCTATGAAAGACAAGGCAGGGCTTTGATCTCTCTCTGCAGCTCGAGCCTCAAGCAGGAACAAGCATTGCCCTCCACCATTTTTGCCTTCGGCAATCGGCACCTTGGGCTGTCCCAGCAGGGGGCTTTGCATGGCCTCCTTATGCTTCCCAGGGCACTCCTCAGGGTTTAAATGCACATTCCTGGAAAACTAACCACGCTGCTCACCTAAACACTACTTGAGTGTTCAGGTTTCATACTAAAACACATTAGACGGGTGTTATTCAAAGCTACAGGGACAACCTGTTTCCCTTGTCTAAACAGCAGGGCTCTGGAGTTAGAAGGGGGCTCAGCTCTCAGGCATCCCAGGGGAAATCACAAGCAGTGAGCTGCTCTGGATTTTTGGTTAAAAAACATGCTTTTTTCAACCTGTTGCAGTTTGCAGACCCTGAAAATATTCCAGTGGAGACAAAAACTTCTTTGTAGGTATTCAGGTCTCCTGATGAGCAGCTTGCACTTTTTTTAGCTGTCTTTCACTGACCTCTTAAGCTAAAACTATTGGACTTGGTCTGTTGGTGACTGGCTGAAAACGGCTGAGGTTGGTGTGAGGTAACCGCACCTTATGCTGAAAAAGAAAGGCCATTCTTCTTTTGGGGATATCTCTGAGGATCAAGGACCTGTAATTACAGTGCAGAGCTGCTCATGAAAGTGGAGAGAAAGCCCCAAAGGGAATTGAGTCCAAAAGACTCAATTAGTGTACTTAGGGCTATGCACTCTGCAAGAGCTCGAAACAAGCGTGGGCATCCAGGCAGCCTCTGACGTTCCTGTTTAGTTCTTTGAAAGCTGGCTGGGTTTTGAGCTGATGGCAGCTGAGAGGTCAGCCCTGGCAGGTACGTTTCAATATTCAGGTGCACGGCTAGTAACTTGACCAAGAACTGACATTGCTTTTTCTATACTGGGCAGCCAAGCCAATGCAGTCAGGAAAGCCTTGAAAAAGTCTGAGTCTCCACAGACAGCAGCCTGCATTTAAGCACATCTCCCATTAGGGGAATGCTCAGTCATTAATTACACTGCTAACAGGGTACCTTATTGGAGAACATACCTGGCAGGGAGGTGTATGGAGGTGGATCTGACAACTTGCGTTTTCTATTCCCTGCTTAAATGGGCAGCGTTTGCTGTAGATTAAGGCAAGGTTTTGGGTTTTACTTTAAAACTGTACTGCAGGTATATTACCTCAGACCTGACAGTTTAGTGTTGTACACGCATTATGTTCGCAAACGCTTTTTTTTTAACAAGCTTTTTAACAACTATTTTAGAGTCAGATGGGTGGAAAACTGCTTACTGCATGGTCATTGGTATAAAAAGAGTGTAATTCTATAAAGAAACCCAGATGCCAACAACTTTGTAGCAGAAAACTATTCAAAAAGAAAATTACTTGTGTTTATACAGCCCTAGCTCCGTAAACTACCAGGGAAGAAAAGCAGGCAGGCAGCTCACTTACGCAGCCTCTTGCCATAAAGTTGAGAGGAGTCGTGAAACACTTTTGCTCTTTTTTTCCCTCACTTGGTCAAACCACATCGAGGTGCCTGCCGCAAAGCAGGCAAAGCTGACGGCAAGGGGAGAGGCCGTCCCGAGATGGGGAGAGGTCATGAGGAGCAGAGGGAAGAGGGACCGAGAGGTGGTACTCACCTGCCTGAAGCAGCATCAGCATGAGCAGCAGGTGGGAGCCCATGGGCAGATCGCTCCGCTGCTCCTGTAAGCCGGGCTTCAGCTGCCGGGACGGCCGGCAGCACTTCGCCTCCTTGCCAAATGAGCCGAGGTTTGGGTGTGCTTAACAATCCTCCCGGGCCGCCGCTCCAGGGTTTATATACCTGTGGCTCTGCGCCCGCTGAAGTGAAACACCCCCTGGTTGCGATGTCCCCGAGCCCCAGCCTGGGTCCAGTCCGTTCCGCCGCGGGTTCCTTCGCTACGAAGGGAGAGGGCGAGGGCTGGCTCTGTTTGCCCAGCATCGACTTTGGGAGGGAGGGGCTGCTGGAAGGGCATTAGGCTGGCGGTCCCCTGGACAGCCAGAGACACTCAGGCACTAAGCCGGGTTCCTTCTTTAAGCTCTTTGCTTACAGACCCTGGTTAACCTCTGAGTAGCTGCGGAAAAGGGAAGCCTGCAACTGGGCTTTCTGTGGCTTGGGCTCACTTCTGTGGCATTCCCTTGGCAAGGATTTCCTCTTTTTATAGGTCACTCGTTCCAGGGTAATTATTTTTTTCTACATTATTTTATTTTAAGACTGATTATTTTTCACATTTAAAAAAGAAGAGACAAAACTATAAAAAGCCAACAGAAAGAATACTGTTAGGTACAAGTATCTAATTATAAACCAACCAACAGAGTTAATTCTGCACCACTCCCGAGAAAAAAATACCCTCTCAGCCTGTTAGTGCACCTGACTGAGACCAATTTATTTCTTGAAGACTCATCAGTACGTGGGTCCCAGCCATAGTAACAGACCAGTGGCTGGGGACAGTGTCCTGGGGCCAGCCCTGCTCTGGTCACACAAGGCAGATCCTGCCTTGCTTCGTACATCATCTATCAACCTTTCTGGGGTTTAAAGTATCTGCCCCTTCTCCAGCATGGGATGATGGGCAAGGCTCGCTGCTCTGCTGGGAAAGGAGGGGATGAAGGCTCCTCTCCTCTTCCCCTGCACAGCCCAGGACTATCTCAGCAGCACCCTTTGCCTGAGTTCCCCATGGTAAAGCTGTGCCTCCCTTCCTAATGGCATGGGTTTAAATATTTGCTTGCTAAATATTGGCAGTCAAATCAAAGGTCAGCAGCAAGTCATTTACAGGGCTGTCTTCTGCTGAGACCAGCCCTGCTGCAGCAGCTGACGCTCTTTGCTGAGCAAGTATATCAGGTGCCTTTGATACCGGGCAAACAGGATGGCAGAACTGGGCAAATCTCATGACAACTGTGATCCCCAAAGCCCCTGCCCATGATGGGCTGGCAGCAGGGGAGGAAGGTGGGCAAAGCGAGGACACTGCTCAACCATGGCTCCTCTGCAACCTCAGAGGGTTCCAGCAGAAGCTGTGCAGCTCACATCTCCTCCCTTGGAAACTCCCCTCAGTAATCATACATTTACTCAAGTGCCAAATCCTATGTATGTGAGCTGTTGCTGGCTAATATTTAACTTTAAGATTCTCAGTTTGTGGGAGGAGGATGCTGGAGGGTGGTTGCACTGTATTCAAGGGCTCTGTGGATGCAGGTCCTCAAAATGGGACATGCAAAGAAGAAGGCAGGCCTTGAAGAACTCTGTGGGACGTGGCTGAACAAGATAACTTGTTAGAGCAAGTTCTTTTCCTCATAGATACCTGCTAGGCCTCATTCTAAGTGGGGACCAAGTGAGGAACCTCTGCAGGTGCTTTATGGGATTCCCAGGGTCCCCAAGCCCAGGGACGTTTGAGTGCCCAGAGTGTCTACTCTATGATTTGGACTTATCAGTCATTTGGGTTTGAAAATCTACATTTAATCTTTCAAAGCCTTCCTGAATTACAAACCTGATCAAAAAAGGCATTACAAATTTTCAGACCACAGTTTAATGCTGTTTTTCCCTTTCTTACAGCCCCACAAGTGACAGATGAGGTTTCTGTCCCCAGTTCAGCACTAAGTATAAAATAAAGAAATATAAGCTCCTTTGATAGCCCAATGAACCAGCAATGCTGGAAGAAGATTTCTGCAGGGTATTTGGGAGAGATGCCCAAATTCAAACTTCAAATGGAAAGTAGAATTAATGCATTGTTTCCTTGTGAACGTTTCACGCTGCTGACTGGTCAAGTTTGTTATTTATTCTGTGCAATACTGTTTACTGTTTCCTAAGTTAATTAACATATTTTTGAAATAGTATTAAAGTGCTAATCGTGGTCTTACTATGTTATGGCAAGCGCACTCAGATCATGAAGGCATTTTTATTACTGCTTAGGGAAACAAAATAAATTCCCTGAACTCACTCTTTCATATATGTTTTGCACGTTACCTGCTTGAGCTCCACTTCTCACCAGTAGCAACAGGCAGCACAGGAAGGTGTTGGATATCGCCTCAGTAAACTGAGATATTGTCTCCAAAAATTCATAAGCAATAAACTTACATTGAGCCTTGGGTCACTTCCATGGGGCAATCAATCCATACTGATGGAGGGCTATTTCTTCAGATGAACTAGCTCTGTTGCAGATGAGGTTCCCTTGGTTTGCACCACCAAAGCAGTTGGTCCTCAAGGATGATGGTAGCTCATGCTCTTGGGCTTCTTGTTATTGAAAGACAATACTATGGAAAAATCTGCAGCTGAGGGGGAGAATAATTTGTATGATCTACACAGTTTTTAACAAAATTTACTCAAGAGGTTTCAAGGCATTAGATGTTGCTGTGGAAGCAATGCTGTCCTTCATCCCATTGAGGATGTTCTTCCTCAAATGAACTACCCAGACACCTCTGTGGATGTCACCACCAACGGCAAGAAGCCATCTCTGGTCAGTACCAGCAGACTCAATGATGCATTTGCTGCCCAGGCCAAGGGCTTTTCCCACAAGGGGCAGAGGAAGCTTCCCTGGAATACTGTGAATGTTAGAAGTTCACTAAAGGAACTGCCCCTCTCAAAGACTGGTTTGTAGGAGGAAGACTAAGGAGACTCGAGGATACAGAATGACAGTTTGTGTAGCGCGAGTTAAAAGAAAAATTTCAGTGCTAAAGGAAACAAACTCCACACTACCTGTTCAGAGGAAAAGAAACGCTGTATCTAAGACTGCCACATGGTTTGTGGTGACATAACCAGTTACATAAGCAATAGGGTTACTATAACAACATACAAAGTAAACATTCGTATTTAATCATGTTGCACCGAAGTTTTCTCCACGGTTTAGTGATGATACAGCCTAGTCAAACTTCGAGGAGGAAAGACAACATTATTATTATTTGCATTTCATAAATCAGCCCCAAAAGAAAAAGTGTTTTAAGTGTCTCCTGGTTTGAGGTATGAATCTCCTTGAACTTCACTGTTGCTGCACCCCAGGTCATACCTCAGTATTTCTGAACAGAGAAGCTGGATAGCTCCAGCTTGCTGCACTCTCTCTTAAAGTCAGTGTCTGGTTTTGTCTATAGCCAGTCACAGACATACACGTACATATAACTCAGGTGATGAAGAAGCAAGGCCACTTCTCTCAGGCTTTTACCATGGCAATTATCTCCCAGCACGGTCTCAGAAAGCAGGGTCTCCTGAGCTGACTGTGGGAGACCTTTCCCTCTGAAGTCATTTCTCCATGAAACGTATCCCTTCTTCACTCTTGCTTGCACTTCTCTCATGAAGAAGTGGACCTCATGGTGTACACGTATAATGCTTTTGGAGGGAAGGAAGGCAGAGCTGACATGAGTCCTGTGCTTGGGATAAAGGAGATGGTGGATTGCTGAAGGAGGGGGGGGTGATGTGAGATGCTAAGAGAGAAGTAGCTTCTTTGTTATTAGCATTGCTGGATGTGGGAAAAACATATTTTGGTCCACATGTAGCGAAGAACTACACCATCCTGCCAATCTCCTGACTCCAGCCCTCATGAGGATCTGTTACCCTTCAAGCGCCAGAGCTGTATTCCTTCATATTTCACTTCCCAAGGCATGGAGAGAGGAGGCACAACCCATGGAAGGGAGGTGGGGTGCAGGTGTCCCTTCATCATCCTCCTGCTCCCTCATTAGGTGGAGAGAGGCTGTGAGGGAGTGCAGTCGCTGTCAGGGGAGGACTGGCCCAGCAGCCTTGTTCTCTCATCACTGGAAATGTCAAGATTTTTCTGACTTTTACAGTCTTGTTATCTCAAGTGTTAGTGACGCTGTCTATCACACTCCTCAGAAGTATCCATTTCCTAGTCTCATCTGCCTGCAACTCCCCTTTTGCTGCAGAGCAGGTAGTTGTTTTGCTGCTTGCAGGAAAGGCTCACTCAGGAATGAAACCATCAGGCTTCAGTGGGCATCACATAACCTAGTGCATCCATCACGCAATGGGGCCATGATTCCAAAATAATTTTCAAGACCGTAGTGTTCCTTGGCCACAATTAGCCAGGACATCAGAAACTCAGCATACCGTGGCTACGCAGACCATGCTGCCATCACCACCTGGGGGCATCGCTGTCAGTGAAAACCAGGGAGAACATCATCTCCTCAGAGCCAAGCTAAGCACTGCCTGTAGCGATGCAAAGGGATGGGTGAAAATAGGCATACCTTATCAGCTGAGCACTCTCAGACAGATGGCTCTCCTTTTAGAGCCCTGCTGACTTTTCTCACTTGAAAGAGAGGATACATCATCAGAATTAAAATACACCTACAAAAGGAACAGGAATAAAAGCATCTTATTTAAACACTGGCAGTATCTCAGGCTGCTTAGTTTATGAGATCCACCAAGAGGCCCAGAGAACACACACATACACAAGGAGATGAATGCACACTCTGATATCCAGGACAAGTTCCTGAAACGCCTCTGAGTTCCTTGAAAAGGAATGGCTAACATAAATGTCTGTGCCCATCTAACAGCAGCCCCTGGTAGAGACAAAGCTCGAAGACCCATGATATCAGTCATGATAGGCAGTCCTCAATAGAGGAAAATTACATTTTTCTCTTCTGGTTGTAAAGACAATGTAAACAGAGGTGTGTTGATGATTTCTCCTGAAAGACAGAGGAAGGGACATCCTGGGTAGGGAAGGCATAAAACA